CATCGTGAATAAATCCATAAAAATAAACGGTTTTTGTCCATATTTTAGTTTTTCACCAGAAATTACATGAAAAATTAACATTTGAACAGAAAATTTAAAAAAAGAAAATTACTAAAAATGTTCTTAAAATACCCTATTTTATGAGAAACATGTAGGAAAAGATAACATTTAGAAAAATAATTTTACGATTTACATCAAACTTTTTTAGTTTTTGACCAAAAATTATATGAAAAGTTCACAATTTGAAAGAATATTTTATAAAAGAAAAATTCTAAAAATGTTCTCCAAATGCCGTAATTTTATGAGAAACATGCAGGAAAAGATGACATTTTGAAAAATAATTTTACAAAGATTTCTCAGATTTTTTAGTTTTTGACCAAAAATGAAAGGAAAAGTTAACATTTTGACAGAAAACTTTATAAAAGGAAATTTCTAAAAATGTTTTCAAAATATCCTAATTTGAGTAGAAACATGTGGGAAAAGATGAAATTTAAAAAAAATAATTTTACGAACATTTTCGTCAAACATTTTGAAAAATAATTTTACAAAGATTTCTCAGATTTTTTAGTTTTTGACCAAAAATGAAAGGAAAAGTTAACATTTTGACAGAAAACTTTATAAAAGGAAATTTCTAAAAATGTTTTCAAAATATCCTAATTTGAGTAGAAACATGTGGGAAAAGATGAAATTTTAAAAAAATAATTTTACGAACATTTTCGTCAAACTTTTTTAATTTTTAACCAAAAATGACACAAAAGGTTTACATTTTGACAGAAAGTTTTATAGAAATACATTTCTAAAAATGTTCTTTAAATGCCCTAATTTGATGAGAAACGTGCGGGAAAAAATTAAATTTAGAAAAATAATTTTACAAAAATGTTCGTCAAACCTTTTTTAGTTTTTGACCAAAAATGACATGAAAAGATCTGTTTTGACAGAAAGACTGATAAAAATATATTTCTAAAAATGTTCTCTAAATGCTCTAATTTGATGAGAAACATGCAGGAAAAGATGAAATTTAGTTTTAATTAGAATTTGACCAAAAATTACACAAAAAGTTCAGATTATGTAAAATTTTTCAAAATGTTATCCTTTCCTGCAAGTTTCTCATCAAATTAGGGCAATTAGAGAACTTTAAAAAAAAAAAAAAATTTACATAAAATCCTGTCAAAATGTGAACTTTTCATGTCATTTTTTTTTTAAAAACTAAAAAATGTTTTGAACAAATTTTTGTAAAATTATTTTTCAAAATGTTATCTTGTTCTGCATGTTTCTCATCAAATTAGGGCATTTAGAGAACATTTTTTGAATTTTTTTTTAGAATTTTTTCAGTCAAAATGTGAACTTTTCATGTCATTTTTTATCAAAAACAAAAAAAATTGGATGAAAGTTTTTGCAAAATTATTTTTCAAAATGTTGTCTTTTCCTGCATGCTTCTCATCAAATTAGGGCATTTAGAGAGAATTTTTTGAAATTCTTTTTATAGAATTTTCTGTCAAAATGTGAACTTTTTGTGTCATTTTCAGTCAAAAATTTTTTTGTAAAAATATTTTTTATTTTTCATCTTTTCTTGCATGATTTTTTTCAAAATCCTAATTTAGCATTACATAGCAATTTTTCGGTAAAAAAGCATGAAGATCATTATATTCTGGCGTATTAATATTGATCCAGTGCTTCCACATCAGTGTTTCTACAGATGTTGTTGTGTGACTCACAGTTGTTTACATCCAAAGCAGCAGCAGGAAGTGACGATGGTATCAGTCAGCCGGTGAACCAGTCCAACAGGCTCCTCAGTTTCTGTTCCTCTTTAATGACCGACCTCTCACACTCTCACGCTCCCTCCTCCATTGTCTCACCTCACATCTCTGGAGTTGGTTCACCAACAGGGTGGTTATACAGCAAGTTTGAATAAAGGAGCGGCTGTTCTTGTAATCACATTCTGTTTCCTGAAGAATTCAACAAGGCAGAGATAAATCCTGTTAGTATGAGAGTTAGAGACAAACGTCACATGACTGACAGAACATTTGTTTACAATTATTATAGTGACCAAACAGAAAAATGCTTGTCAGTCTTATTCAGAATCTTATTGGTATAATAAATTACGGTGATCAAAGCTTGACCTTCCAAAAGAATATATTTTTCTATATTTAAAAAAACAAAACAAATGTAGATGGTGTGTGAGCTCCAATGACTGAAATCCAGGATAAAAGTCAACTCAAACCAGTATGGCCACATTACGCACTGAAGATTGAAACGATGAAATGCTATGCGGATGTTTTTGCAGAGTGTTGCAGAGAAGAGACCAAACTGTGAGCCATGAGGGACAAGTTGGAGATCCTCGCCATGGTCCTGGGCTTCATCGGCCTGATTGGGACAGTAGCCATCACTGCCATGCCTAGTTGGAGGGTCTCTGCCTTCATCGGTGCCAATCTCATCGTCATGGAGGAGTTGTGGGAGGGCTTGTGGATGAATTGCTTCAAACAGATTGACATTAGGATGCAGTGTAAGGTGTACGACTCACTGCTGATCCTCCCCTCAGAGCTGCAGGCTGCCCGGGGGCTCATGTGCGTTTCCATCGTCTTAGTTGTCATCTCCTTGTTTGTCACAGGATGTGGAAGTAGGAGCAGCACCTGTGGTGGTGAGAACATAAAGTGCAAGAACATCACTCTGGCCGTAGGGGGGTGTTTGTACCTGATGTCCTGTCTGACCACACTGGTCCCGGTCAGCTGGGTGGCCCACACTGTCATCAGGGACTTTTACAACCCTCAGGTGACAGACGCTCAGAAACGGGAGCTGGGCAGCGCCCTCTACACTGGCTGGGCCACAGCTGGTGTTCTGCTCATCACAGGGGTCATCGTACTGTTCAAATACAGCAGGAACAGACGTAAAGAAGAAGAAGTGGCTTATGCTGCTCCCTATCACATGGCTATGGAGGATAACAGCATCAGCATTACCAGAACTTTGTCTGGATCACATAAGCATCATGAATATGTGTGATCACACTGCAAAGATGTTACTGTTGGATTGCTGATGTGATTTCACATGAATGTTGAAACGATCGCCGCAATTTACTGTACGTTCACATCTTAACCACACACTGCAACAACAAAGGCTTTTTATTTTACACTGTAAATAAATCACATCTTAACTGCACATGGTTAACAGCAGACGGCAAATGTTTTCATTTTCTAAAATCCAGAATTCTTACTTTTACTTCAGTTCCAATAAGACTTAAATCTAAGGATTCAAAGTGTAATTAAAAAAAATGTAAGAAAATGGGAAAATGTGATAAATGTATGACGTTTACCTTCAGCTAATTTGTCCCTGGTCAAGCTTCAGAATACGATGAAATATACTGAGAAAACAAATAAATAATATGTAATGATTACCATTGCCGGTATTAACGATGTTAAAATAAACAGTGTACTAATAAAGTTATTTTTTTCCAGTTCATTCATTTTTGAGAAACTTTTGTTGTTGAAGACTCTTTCAGAACTTATTAGTATAGTATAGTACTGTGATCAATAGTTGATGTACTAAATATATTATTTTTATAATATTTTTCTGAATTTTTATTTTTGAAAACATTTTCAGGAAATTAGTTTAGTACGTTGCTTTTGTTCAATGGCTGATGTGTCAACAAAGGTTTATATTTTATCTGAATTTCAACCATTAAAAAAGGTCAGTGCTATGTAATTTAAGGAAATTAGTGCATTTTTATTTATTTTTGAGCAACATTTTTCACGACCTTTTCAAAATTTGATTATTTTTTTTTCTCTACTGTGCCAAAAATAAAATATATATAAAGAGTTAAATATGAACTAATTTAATACATTTGTTTTTAATTTAATTCAATGGACCAAATCCACTACACAGGCCGTGTAGAGATCAGCTGTTCTGGTTCAGTTGGCTGGTTGACTTCAGTGCCACGACTCAAGGTGACTCAAACGGAGCGTAGACTTAACTTGAAACCAACACTGCTCACCTTTCTGTGCTCCACACGTGCACCTTTCTGTGCTCAGCTCACTTTACATGAAAAGTAGGCGGCAGTCTGACATCTGTGATCATGTCATCGGGTTTCGGTCTGGCACAGAGAGAGAGAGAGAGAGAGACAACAGATTCTTAACACCATGGCCATGGAAAAGTTATGGGCTGCTGTTACCGAGCCTGAAATGACAGTGTTTGAATTACAATTGAAATCTTATGGAAATATAACTACAGTAGAGAGTAAAAAGAACTGCACATGCTTATTTGTGAAAACGTATCTCAGTATACTTCAAGAATTTGGAGTGAAGCAATTAAAGATTGAAGCAGTTATCCAAGAGCTGAAGAAGAATACGTTTTAATCGTATCTAATTTATTTCAATTTTTGCACAGGTGCGACGCCATGGAGAAAGTTACTTAAGAGAGAAGATGTTACTCTGTTAAATCAGTATCACAGCAGCTCAGTACTTGCAAAACATTCACCAGGTTTCCAGAGACACATGTAGGAGTATGTGTTGTGGCAAATACTACATACTGCATGATGATACATTTTGACCCAAGTCTAAAAATAAATCACAAACTACTAAACATGGATACTGGAGCAGTGACCTGAAGAGGGCGGTATACAGGATATTTCCTCACAGTGAAGGTATGATGGGCCCTGTCACTGACACCTCTGTGGATGTCAACATTGTCTGTTTAAACATTGGATTCATGTCAACAAGTATTCAAAGGAATTTAAATATGTTAAATAAAAAAAAAGTGAAATAATAAAAACCATCAAATGAATGAAATGATAAAAAAATCATGTATCAATCAAACATTCCAACAGGCCCTTGTAGTGTTCACGGAAAAAAACATTTGGCTTGTTTATCTAGTAAAACACACTGTTTAGTGTTTTGTAAATCACAGACTACAGGCACCAGTGTAAATACAATCTCATTTTAAAAACAAATTCCACTAGAATTTTTAATTATTTCTACAATTTCAAAAAAGTGTAAATGTATTAAGACTTGATAATGAAACAATGTCAAAACAAACAGATCTTTAACCTTAGCTGCGACTGCAGCAATGATTGGATTCGTTTCTGATTAACTCCCGGAACAAAGATTGTAACAGCCATTTGACATTTGCATTCAAAACAAGGCAGTAACACTTTGGTGTGTCCTCGTTTATCTGATGCTCATGAAGCAGCTCAACCTGTAAGGCTGCATTGCATTAGCATTTCTGTGTGTGTATAAGTTCCTGGACTAGTCTTTTCTCTCAGAATATTTTCAGAAGCTGCTGGCGTGCAGCTCACACCAAGACATGGCCTCCTACACTGCCTACAGCGGTTACAGTAAACCTCCTCAATCGTACGTGGGCTCCTACTATGATGAGAAACAAGCGAAGCAGTACACAGAATACCAAGACTCCGTATATGAGGAAAAGAAAAGGATCGAGAGGAAGGACCGCAGGGACGCCATCTGCTGCGAGGTGGTGGCCCTTGTCATCGGGTTCATTGGACTAATCGGAGTGGCGGCCGTGACCGGTCTGCCCATGTGGAAGGTCACAGCTTTCATCGAGGAGAACATTATTGTAATGGAGACACGTTGGGAGGGACTGTGGATGAACTGTTACAGACAGGCCAACATCAGGATGCAGTGCAAAGTCTACGATTCCCTGCTGTTTCTACCCCCCGACCTCCAGGCCGCCAGGGGTCTGATGTGCGCCGCCGTGGCCCTCACCTCATTCGCACTCATCGTTTCAGCAGTGGGAATGAAGTGTACCAAAGTGGTGGACCACCGCGCTCGAACCAAGCACATCGTCCTTGTGGCCGGAGGCTTCCTCTTCCTCATGGGCTGCGTCACTACACTCATCCCCGTGTCCTGGACTGGCCACGTGATCATCAGGGATTTCTACAACCCTCTGCTGATCGACGCCCAGCGCAGGGAGCTCGGGGAGGCCCTCTATATCGGCTGGGTGACCGGAGCTTTGCTTTTCACCGCTGGTGTGATCCTGCTGTGTCGTCACGCGCCGCGCGCCCAGGAGGCCGAAGAGAGGGTTGTCTACAACCCTAGGGGAAATTTGTACCAACCAGCATACACATACCAGCCGTACACATACCAGCCTGCGTACAGCTACCAACCAGCCTACTCTGCACCACCACCAGGATCTGTAGCCTACACACCCAGTCAGTACTAGTGACGAAAACTGAATGAAGGAACTTTTTTTTTTTATGTTTTTTTTTTTTTCCAAAGTTGTCACTGGGCGAGGCCAGATCTTTCCTTCACAGAGGGACTAGAGTACGGCAAAGATGTGAAATATAAGTTGGAGCAGCTGTGTTCAAATGTAACTGATGAACCGTGCTGAACGTGATTGTGTTTTTAACCATATGTTTAACTTCACCAGGCACATTTTAAAATCTGTGTCTCTATAAATATGTTGACTGTTATAGTTTCATACTACTGACGCTCTTTGAGAACAAATGATGCACTAGGTTTCCGCTCTCCCCAGAAAGGTAACCTCCACATGATTCGTTAGTTTTTATTATTTTGTTACTGTGACTGTAGATACTTTTGAACTGCGTGACAAGGTCAGCTCTGATTTACAATAAAGGGGAAATACTGGGACAAAACAAGACATTTGTGGTGTTTTTCTGATGCTAACAGACAAGGTTAGCACCTGGGCCTAGAAACAAGACTTGGGTCTGAGCCACATCATGTCTGTAAACAGTAAGTCGTGTTTGTCTCCGCTGGTTTCAAGTGAAATGTGCCTCAACTGGTTAAACAGGACAGTTCACACAAATCCACCCACAACACAGAGCTGCTTAGAAACGTTTGAGCAACAACAGCTAATGTTCTGGTCTTGATTTTCTAAAACAAAACAAAACAAAACAAAAAACTCTAAAAAAAATACAGAAAACAGAAGTAAAGCACATTGGATTAATAAATCATGTGTTTTTTTAGATTAAATTTTACTGAACTTGGTGACTGTACTTTTATGTCTGACTTTAAATGGGTGTAATGACAGAAATAAGAAAATCTAAGGGAGAATAAGACATAAATATTACAAAAAGAAATACTACTGAAAAGTTTAAAATAGCTCATCATGTTCCTCAAAGTATAAAAACTAATTTAATTTAACTTTTTCGTAATTATTTTTTAAACAGTTTCAAAACTTAGTTATGAATCAACTCAAAAATGACCCTGAATGTCAAATCTTATCTAAACGTCAGTTACTAAAGACCTAAGACCCAAAATATTAAGAGATAGCAACCTGCATTAAAAATATACAGTATTAAAACGCATAGGTTTAGCAACAAAGCTAATGTGCAGCTAAATAATAATGTTATATAAATCAACAATATGATATGACAGAATTAAGAGATAGCAACCTGCATTAAAAAGTATATTTATTAAAACGCATAGGTTTAGCAACAAAGCTAATGTGCAGCTAAATAATAATGTTATATAAATCAACAATATGATATGACAGAAAAAAAACCTGATATTAATAATAACAAACCTTTTTCTGCTTGGCTCTCTCTCTCTCTCTCTCTCTCTCTCACACACACACAAACACACACACACACTGCATGTCATCCAGCTAACCACACTTTGAGTTACTTTCCGTTTGCATATTTTTGCAGTTTGCAAAAAAAAGACGTCTTGGCGACGGTACTCATTACACGGTACGCAGTAAATATTTAATTTTTTTTTAACCGATACTGGTTTGAGGGAAAAACATATTTAACTGTATGTTAATGTGTTTATTATAATTATAATGTGTTGCTAGTGATCATATTATATATTTAGTGCTCTTTATGACTCTTGCGAGGGCAGAAAGAACAATGCAACCATCGGCAAACTGGGTATTTTAGTGGTTGGTGTTTGTCTTTTGACACCACCTTTAAAAACCAGCCAAGACTTATCTCCAAAAGATCAAGGAAGCAGATGATGTTTCTAAACAAAGGTAGTATGGCTGTAAAAACACGCTAAAATATTTTCTATTTAAAAGTATTTCTTCAAATGTACTTTAAATATGTTACCTCCTAATATGTTTTCTGAACTAAAAAATATGTCTTGCCATAAAAAACTGGTTTTCAGGTTCTTTCATAGTGAGAGCTGAGAGTGTAAACTGAGATGTGTGAATAAACAAAATGGATGTAACCAGGGTGAGGTGTACAAAGAAAAAAAAAACACATACGGGGTTCTGTTTCATAGCAACAGGATACTGACTCCACCTACTATTCAGTAGTTATGTCCGCAGGGAGGAGACGGTGCAGGTGAACATCCCGCTGCTCCTCCTCCTCCACTGGGATGCAAATCCACTGCACACTGGGAACCCACTGCCTCCACCTAATTACACTGTCACTGCAAACATTTGTGTGTGTCTCAGCTCGGAGGACGCGGAGAAGGATATGGCCAACTCAGCACTGGAGATCGTGGGTCTGTTACTGACCCTGATCGGATTGATAGGAGCGGCAGCCAGCACCGGCATGCCCATGTGGAGAGTCACAGCCTTCATTGAGGAGAACATCATAGTGTTTGAGACGCGGTACGAGGGTCTCTGGATGAACTGCTTTCGTCAGGCTGACATCAGAATGCAGTGTAAGGTGTACGACTCCCTCCTGGCCCTGTCCCCTGACCTGCAGGCTGCGAGGGGCCTCATGTGCTGCTCTCTGGCACTCGGCGGCCTCGGTCTGTTGATCGCCATTGTCGGGATGCAGTGCACGTCCTGTATCCAGAACAATCGAGGCAAGAGATTGGTCCTGATCATCGCAGGCAGCATGGTCCTTATGGCCTGTCTCTGCGTCCTCATCCCCGTGTCCTGGACGGGTCATGTCATCATCAGGGATTTCTACAACCCACTGCTCATCGCCGCCCAGCGCCGGGAGCTCGGTGAAGCTCTGTACATTGGCTGGGTGTCTTCAGCTTTCCTGTTCGCCGGCGGCTGCATGTTCATCTGCTGCAACCTGCAGTCTGAAGGCAAAGGCTCCGAGAGGTACATGTACTCCAGGGACTCCAACTACATGGCCTACACCCCGCAGCCTCTCCAGCCTCAGCAGCTGGTGCTGCTGCCTCAACCACAACCACAACTACAACCACAACCTCAACCACAACCAATGCTGTCAAGACACCCCTCCACTATCTACACTAACCCCTCTGGATACAACTCTGGATACAACTCAAGATACCCTTCGAGATACCCCTCAGTACACAGCGGAGTGGCTTATCTCTGAACACGGACTGAGGTAAAGACGATCAGCTGTGGTCTAGCATTTCAGAAAAAAAAAATTCTCTGACTGACAAACACAGGAACTCTCTCAACTATTAGTTATATTTACTTAATATGAAAAAATGGGTAAAATAAAAATGGTTGTAAATAGTTTTATTTCACGTTATTGTATTGTAAAATTATAACCTTGTTTTTTTTAACATTTCACAAAGTAAATTTGTTTTCAGTGTAAAAACAAACGCATTTATATTGTTTTTTTAAATATTTTTTTTCTCTAACAGACAATAATGACTTTAGATCCCTTCTTATTATTAACATGTTTATCTTGCGTTTCAAGTCAATATATCCAGTGTAAAAATTATATTCACATTTTCTTTTTTAGGTTTTAAGATTAAGTTCTGATACAGTTTAGGTTTTAAAACATTTTAACAAAGTATACATTTTCTCTCTTAATAATCGTATTGCCTCAGACAAAACATGCAAATGAATCGTGTTTACTGATAGATGACCTGATGCTTTTACAATACACTGTCATGGTAATTTGTTGAGCGTTTTCTTTGCGTTTTCATAATTATGTTTGTCTTAAGCCAAATTAGACTATAATAACCTGAACAAACTATTATCAAATGGCTCTATCTGCACCAAACTTTTTTTATATTGCAAATTATTGCAGTGAGTCAGTATATTTTTTATAGGTTTCCTATTTTTTTTATTTTGTCCCTTTTAAGTGCAAAACCTATTAGCATACGACATGACTGAAATTAAAATGATTAGTTCATATAACTTATAATTTTAAAGCTTTATCCATATATAAAGAATATATAAAGTAGGACAACTTTATAATTTTCTTTAACAAAAACCACCCTCAAACTTCAAAGGTGGTGAGATTCCTGTTGTTGTAATGATTAAGCCTCTGTTTTTACAGTGTCTCTGTCTCGGTGCAGGTTTAACATAATGCCCAGCAGCCATTGTAAACTGAGAGAAGTCAGTCAACATGAGCTTCTGCTTGTTGAAGGAGTGGAGCTTGACGATGACTTTGGTGTTTGTTTCAACAGCATGACCTCACTTTGAATTACATACAATAATTAACTCATTTGAATGTTTTTACCTGGAGTTACACTATTAAAGAATTTTATCAGGCCCAAAAATCATGTGTTCTGAAAATCAAATATGTGCCCAGGGCTGGAGTTCCTATGAGCAGTGTTGGGCACGTTACCTTTTAAAAGTAATTAATTATAAGTATTTTCAAAGTAAAAGTCTCTCAAAAATGAATAAAAATGCCTCCATTTACCTTTAAAAAAATTATTATTATAATAATAAGATTCTGAAAAAGTGTTTTTTTTTCAAAAACAAATTGACGGCTCAGCAAACTTTATATTTATATTAAACGAAGAATAGTATGATATATAAACATTCTTTGTTGTTTGTAATAAATAGTTCAGTCAAATACAGGTCTGTGTGAAAATTACCATAAAATATTTTGGGAGCCATCTACAGTACCGCTATGAATCCAAGGGGGGGTGCTAAAAAGCCGTTGACAACATCGGCCCCGAATGAAACTGAATAAATGGAATTAACACTTAATTACCAGTGTTGGTTATTTCTGTCTGTATGTAGAAACACATCAGGTTTTAATATGACGCAATTATCAGAGTTAATGTCAAAACAAACAAAATAAAAGCACTGATCAATGTTTTCAGAAACTGTGAGCCAGTTCTGTTTTTGTCCTGTTAGGATTCACTGTATAAGCAGGTGACAGCACAAAGGTGCAGCAGTGAGTGTAAACACAAAACAATCAGGGATCTTTTTTTTACCCCCATTGCTCTGACCAATGAGGTGACAACAGGGCACTTTCCCACAACAAACGTCTCTGACACCAAACACACCAAGTCAGACAAAGAAGACCTTCACTCCTGGGAACAGGAATCGCACCCCAGCACTGAAATTTTGTAATTATTTTCTAGTTTGACATTTTCTTTTTAGTTTAGGTTGCTTTGATTGCTACATCATGCTTCAAGCATATTCAGAGATCGCCGCAATGTGTGTTGGGCTGATCGGGCTGATCGGCGCCGCTGCAACCACTGGGATGCCCATGTGGAAGGTGACAGCTTTTATTGGAGAGAACATAATTGTGATGGAAACGCGTTGGGAGGGTCTGTGGATGAACTGCTACAGACAGGCCAACATCCGTATGCAGTGTAAGGTCTACGACTCGCTGCTGTACCTGCCTCCAGAGCTGCAGGCGGCCCGCGGCCTCATGTGCTGCTCTCTGGCCTTGTCTGGACTGGGACTTCTGGTCGCTATGGCTGGAATGCGCTGCTTCTCCTGTCTTCAGGGTAACGACTGGGTGAAAACCATCATCCTGCAGGTGGCAGGAGTCATGCAGCTGCTGGCGTGCGTCTGTGTCTACATCCCAGTGTCCTGGACTGGCCATGCTATTATTAGAGATTTCTACAACCCTCTGCTCATTGATGCCCAGAGGAGGGAGCTGGGAGAGGCGCTGTACATCGGCTGGGTGACCGGCGCCTTCATGTTCGCTTCAGGGTTGTTGTTCCTTTGTCGCCGTTTGCCCCAAGACAAAGGCTCGTTTGATATTTACCACCCGGCGGACTTCCTCAACTACAAACTGCATCCGGGCAAGCCGGCTCTGATTGGTTACAATCCCATGTCAACTCTTTCGAGCCTCAGATCGACTCCGTACCAGCCTCCTGTACAGCAGCTCCCAATGCCAGTGCAAACTGTGCCTCAGCTAATGGCAAATAACGGAGCGCCACTGCAGCCTCCAATGGCCTATCACCCAGCTCTGCCTGAAAACGCTTCCCTGTTGTACGGCAGCATGACTCAGCATTCCTCCGTGCCCAGTTCTAACCAGAGAGGAAGCCTGTACGCTCCAGGGAACTCCGTGTACATGAGCCACAACAGCGCGCCACATTCACTGACCTACACCGGCCAACCATCTGCCTCCTACCAGTCCAGCTTTCACCCAGTTCCACACACTCCTATTTTTATTGGGTACAGATCATCAATAGTTCAACCTCAGTCTCACAGTGGGAGCAGTTCCCTGGGTGGTGTGTACATCTAGGAGCTGACGCAACTTCACAGATTATGGTTTATAAGTATAGGGGTGAGTCCAAATATTCTAAGACTAATGTCAATAATAAAGGTGTCTGTTTGTAATCAGTGAAACTGGTGGAGCTCAGTCTCCTCTGTGTTCCCAACCTCTTAGATTGAATTTATATTTACATCGTCATCAAGTGTTCAGATGTACATTTGGTTTAATGTGGTTTTTCAAACCACAAATAAAAAGGATTTTGGTTTAATGTGGTTTTTCAAACCACAAATGAAAAGGACTTAAATCAGAGGACGTCCTAGAGACAATTTATAAACTGAAGAGTGAAAATCAAACAACAATTCTGGAGTAAACATTGAAATTTTAGAACAATTTATTTGGCCATAGTTTTACTAAATGTATATATTTATTTTTCTTGCTAATGTTTAGTTGTTTTGGGATATACTTTATATATACTGTATAATATTTGCAGTGTGTTAGATATTACTGGACAAATGTTTAGCCACAGTTTGATATTTCTGTAACCTTTTTGGAATTGTTTTGTAATTAACATTAACTTGTTGTGTTTATGTTTTGTCTAACTTACCTATTTGTTTATTTTGTTGGTTAATTTTTAGCAGTTTTTTCAATGACATTCAATTCATTTGTGGCTAATCCTCATTTATTATTTATCATCACCATTTAGATAATAGTAATTAATTACTGAATTATTGTTGAAGGGAACATGCAGGAGGACAATAATCAGGGCAAAATCAAAGAATATGTCCAAGGGGTAAAAAAAAACTACTGGCTTACGCAGTAAAAGTATTCATTATTAATTATGAAACTAAGGAATTACATGGATTATAATTCATGCTGTAGTTAATGACTGATTTTCTGATATTACCTTAAAATTCATAGAAATTAAGTTTTTTATACTGATATTACTGAACATCTAAAAAATATTTCCTCATTTTTGTTTGGTTCCAAATGTGTGACTTCTATCACGGACTGACAGCACTAACTGGTAGCACCGCTCCTGACATGATCACCAAAACTAGAACTAACCACTACACACCACACGATGGCACTAAAGAACAAGAGTCTCAGGCGCTTCCTTTACTGCCATTTCTGCCCTAAATTTGATTTCTGCTGGATTTTGTTTGTTTTCCCCCCTTGTATTTAACTGTGCAAAACCTTGAAGGTGATGAATATTAGTAGATTTTTCCAGCCTTGATCCTGACACCCACATTTGAAAGGACATTACTTCAAATCTCAAAGTTTAAAAACAAATCAGGTTTATTGATATCTGTTCAATAAAAAAAAATTCAGTTAACTCACATTATTCACCTAAATTAATTTTTTCCAAGGCAGTTTAAATACTTTTTTACTTATTCAATGATTTTATTTTGTGTAAATAAATGTATAAAATATTATTATTATTGTTAATGTTGCCACTTATTTTATCTGTGCCTATAATGGAGCAGTTACACAGCTGCCAATATTAACAAAGTAAGTTTTTTAGGGTCAATCATACTAAGTTAGACTGTGTTTGTACACAGACCTGTGCTGCATGGCAGTCATTCATCACAGTGACTTTTTTATATTCACTCTATTATAATCTGGCAGCACAGAAACACTGACATTTTGGATGTTGTTCAATTAAGAATGATGAATGCCTTATGTGCTGACTTGAAAAATGTCACCTGAATTAACAATGTCACTTAGCCGCTGAGTCAAGGACAGACAGCGCAGCTGATGAGAAAACTAAAAATCAAGACATTTGTATTTTATCATTTTAGAATACAGACTACAATAAGAACCATTAAACATTTTTGAATCTTCATTATATCTTGTAGGTTTTATAGGCATTTTTGTTTTGTACTGTATGTATTATATAATATCCATTGATCAAAGTATTACCTGCAACAATAATAAAAATCTTAAAGTGTAATTCAAATACTGAGTTTAGAGCTTCCTTGGATGACTGTGAGAACTTCCAAATCAACAACACTGAGTGTTAGCTCCCTCTCCTGTTCTCCACCAAAAACACATGCACAAAACAATCAGCTGCGGAACTAGAAAAAAACAAACAAAGAAAAAAAACAATTGCTGACCATCAGGTCACCAGTCTGGACTGATCCTGGAGGAATTGGTGGTTTACAATGCAATCTCCCCTAAGGCCTCCCAGAGGGGGCACTCTTTGATCAGCTCCACCTTTGGCTCTAACGTTTCCCTGTATCTTGACATGTTTCTAAGTTCAGATTGTGACAAGCCTGAAGTCTCTACTGTCTCTTCACATGAAATAAGCTATTTTAAAAATATTGCTCCATATTTACATTCAATCTGTTAAACACATCCTACTGTTACTGCATGAAATAGACACCAATTATTTACTTATTTCTAACAAATAAAATAAGATTTTTTCCAGTGAAAACATATCAAGTATTTCTCGCTTGTTTGAGACAGGTTTGAGAAAAAGTACATGTTTTTGTTTTGGTTGCATTAATGTTGGATGTTGTTGAATATAGTTTTTGAAAAGTCAATATTGTGTAAGTTAATGTCTTTACGTCCCAGTTAAACTGTTTCATCACATGATAGATTACATGATAAATGCTACGTCTCTGTGCCATTATTTATTACATTCATTCAATGAAAAGTTATTTGACTAATCCCTGCAGAGACCGTGTAGAGGAGATCGGTTCACTAAAAGTTTAAAGGTAGTTCATCTGAAGAGAACGTCACTGACCAGTGTGTCTGTAGGTCACTTTTGCATCTCCGTCAGGCCCGAAGCACAGACTTAATCGTTTCTTGCACAAAATCAAAGACGTTGTCGAGGTCGAATGTTGCCAGATTTGAAGTTAATCTTCAGGACGTATCCATGTTGGCGGATCAGCGACTCGGCTTTGGCCTTAATTGTGTGCCTGCACGGGAGAGATGTTATTGTCAAGCTACCCGTAAGATGACAGGAATAAAGCAGGAAGCACAGAAAGTCTGATTTCAAAATAAAAGTGTTGTTCATGTGCCTAGATGCAAAAAATTTGAATTAAAACAGCTGTGACTTCATTTAGACGATATAAAAATTAAGACAACAAAATATTTATATTTAAACTGAATGTCTGCCCCGACATTTAGTGAGTTGCCAATCATAAAAATGGAAAAAAGGTGATATGTGTTTGAAATGTTTACAAGTAGAAAATAGACCCAAACATGAGTAGTGATGTTTCCCCTTCCTGTTGTCTGCTGGGTGGAGTGAGTGTGATCACCCTCAACTGTGTCTCTGTCATCAGTCTCACTCCTGCCACCTGGTGGCCTTGGTATGTATACCTCTCTCTCTCTCTATATATACAGTATATATATATACATACCCTGTATTTAAGAATATTATTTACTGAAAATTATAATAAGTACATTAAAACCCTATAAGAAAATCCTCAACGGTTAGACTGAACAAACTTTAAAAAAAAAAGTTAATTAGACACTAAACATATACAGTAACTATTGTTACTGTTATTTGTCTCGACTGCTGGGATTGGCTGCAGCTCCACACAGTGGTTTTATTAAGACGTGTCATAATTATACACGTGAATAAGCTCAGTGATTATTCATATTATTAGTGGCTGGGGAGGCGAGGTGTTTTCTTTTATTTTGAAAGTTAACACCAGAAATGTTGTTGCCCAGTCCACCACCACCTCCTCCTCCTCCTCCTCCTCCCCCTCCCTCTCCTCCTCCTCCTCATCATCAGCATCACATGCAGCCCTCAATTCAAGTGTACACCGGGGAAAACTGGTGATCACAGGGATGTGTGAAGAGAGTACATGGGGAGCAGAAATCAATGGATTGGATGGAATGGAAATTTTCAATAGAAACTCCGGAGTTGTTTTGACAAGTGAAGAGTAGAAGTGGAGCGTGTGTTCCGTTTTCCTTTCCTACTTGGCTGTTCTTTGCTGTTTGTTTGTCTCCTCGCCGTGTGTGAGGATGGAAGTGGATCTAGAGCCAATCTGTTTTTATTATGACTACAAGGACTGGCAGGCGATGAAGCGTGAAGAGAAGAATTAGAGTCGGACGAAAGAAAACTGATGTCAGTGGTAAACTGGACCCTGGAGCTCGGACCATGGCACAAGGGAAGGAGCTGTTGTTGTCGCTGCTCTACTTTATGTCAGAGTTTTGGCTCAGTTCACAGCAAGTTCTGAGGATCGGTGAGTGTCAGTACCTTTGTTCCATCGGTCGGGATACAAAAAAAAAAAAAATCGATTCGCTGATATATCGCAATATTTCTTTCACGATACCGTCTCGATATTCTACAGCACTGTATCAATTCTATAAATGATACTTAACACGCAAATATTCATGGTGTTGGTTTATTTTATTTTGCTTTTAGTTTTCCCTGTTCCAGTTTTAGTATCCTGGTGTTAAACATGTAACAGCATTGTGTGTTTACTGATAGTGTGTGCTGATAGTTTTCCTACAGTTAAATTGCTTAAAAAACTCAATATATTTTCATGCCTATAGTATCACAGGTTATCGCAATATATCATTGCCCTTGTATTGTGACACGTATCGTATCGCCATATTCTTTCTAATACACATGCCTAGTTAGCACTGTCCTTTAAGGAGGGACAAAAACAAACAAACAAAAAAAAAAACAACCCTGCATGTTGACGAACAACAGACTTTTAGATTAATCGGTTCTAATTCTTTGTAAATGATTAATAAGAAGGACAGTATATTTTAACATTTTCTATCCATTCTATTTTCTCTCTGTCAGGATTATAATTGCAGAGATTATCTTTATGGATGTCATGCAAGGTTATCTGTTCAAAGCATGTGTGCAGCTCAGCTACTGTACTGTAGGCAGCAGTAAAAAAAGAAGAAGTTAGCATGTAAATCCTCTTTATCTGTGTTGTTATAATGAGTGTTCTGTAGTGCTCGGTTCTCACAATGTTCTACTTTTTTTTTTAAGTTTCCTTTTTTTTGATGAAGGCTGTGTTAAGGTATCATCAGTGAACTGTCAAATTTAATTATTTAATTATTAACAAAAACCCAAACGTCAACTAATTTTAGTGTGAAACTGCTACAACTGCTTTTACAATTTCCATTTATTTTAATTTAGTGCAAATAGAGCTTTGGTTAAAATAGTAATGTTTGGTATTAAAAAAATAGTCGTTTGAGTGTTTTTTACAGGGTCAAATAATAAAAAGAATGGTTAAAAATAAACAATGGAAAACTCACTACAATGATGGGTTGGGTTTTTTTTTTTAACTTTCAAACTGCCCAAAAGATCATCAACTAGCGGCCCGTGGGCTGAAATTGGCCCACTGAATTTTCCAATCCAACAGAAAGTAGAGAAAAAATGTGGTCCAAAACATTGAAGCAACTGAAAAAAGCAACTTAAAAATGAAAGGCTTAATAAACAATAAAGGAGAAACCCAAACCTTAGCAAAACATGCAAACATCTGGTGACACAGTGGTTGAACTTTGGGGCTACGTAGACTTTTTCTATCAAATATATGTTGTCAGTGCAGGTCAGCAGCAGATGAGTGATTATTCTGACCTTCTGCTGCATCTTAAGTGTTGTACTGTTGGCATGTCTATGTATTTGGCACAGAGGAATGTGAGTTGGATGTAGATCTGAGAAGAGGAGAGAAGGAGAGGAGCTTTGTTATAATTAGCAGCTCAAACTCACTTCCTTTCTTAGTGCTAACGTATTGCACGCGTGTCATGGCAGCTAATGTGACATGTGTATATACAGTATATTAGTGTCCACTGTTCCCTGCAACACTTCTGAGAATTGTTTAGAATCCTTTCAACTCTAATCTGCAATGCTAATTACCCCCCCGCCCCCCTGCACTTGCCCTGCTTTGCTTTCTGATGTAACTTTTTTAACAATGAGTCTGTATTTGTGGACAAACCCGTGTCCTCAGCTCCTCCTCAGCTCCTCCTTCTGCTCCTGCTGCCGCATTATTCCTTTCATGATGTGAATGATTGCATCATTATGAAAGAGTTCTTAATTTTGGCCCCAAGGACGATCTGCTTTGCTTCAAAGCTTGGAGCAATTAGACTTCTTTTTTTTAATTTCCTCCACTTCATGATATTTGCATAAGTATCAATCAGACATGTCCAAAATGAGGTCTGAGGGTTAGTTGTGGCCCTTGGACAGGTTTTAAGAGGCCTGTGAGTTGTTTCTTAGACTTCAAGGCCTTAAATCAGAGTTGGCCTTTTCGTTTTTTAATTTGTTTTTGCTCTTGTGCAAAATGTTTTCATCAGTTCTTGGGCTTTTCTTTGTAAATTATGTGACCATCTATTGGTTAACTTTTAAACGATGGCTATTTTTAAATACATTCTTTCTGGTGAACTCCTAGCTTCAGCTTTTTTCACTGGCCAATAACCTTTCACTGTTTCTGTGTTGGCTGGTTATAGGATAAATATTTGTTAATTTGAAATGTTTTTGCAACTCAAGCATAATTACCCATGTCTTGGAACATTAATGCTGCTTTTTAGTATTTGCAGTTTAACAGCATAAAATAGCATATTTTTTTAAATTAAGTATTAGGGTGATGTAAAAATATTTTAATACACATTTTACAACATTCTTGGAATGGCTTGGATAAAATTCTTTTTATAACTATATAAAAGTTTTTGTCTGACCCTTGACGTAAGCCTCAAGTCTGGATCCCTGTGCTCTATATTATTAATCTGTCTTTTACTCATCGATCACTCTCTCTGACTTCCTGATCTTTGTTATTCCCTTCATGATCTGAGTCACACCAACACTCCCTCATCTAAATGTCTTCCATATGGTGAGTCTGTCCAGGAAAGTGGTCAAATCAGATCGTGTAAAACTGTCAGTGTCATTTCCCTGTGACTGATAAACAGAAATACTCTATAAAAACTAGATAGATAGAAAGAAAGAAAACTGAAAACAGAGCCATGCAATGCCAGTGTTTGTGCTCTTGCTCCTCTAGTGGTGGTTTGTCTCCACACAGTCTGATGGACTGGTGAAATGTCCAACATTTAGCCCATCCATACCACATGATAGATAGAATTACTCATCGTATGTCTTAAATTTATACTTTCTCCCACTTGAAGTTTGGCAAATGAAAAAAAGCCGTGAATCAGTGATGTTGTTGTTACTGTCTGACAATAACAATTTACAGAGTCTTTTACTGTCACAGTGTTGGGATAAATAAATCTGAATGTTTTGACTGGTGGGTGGCATAAAACTCACCCGTAAACAGAGAGGCCTCAGTGCTTTACATCAAACGAAGGTAATGGACTGGTCAGCAGCTCCTTTATTCAGTCACAGCCTGGCACAGCTCCAGGATGGAGTGGTGTGGCGATGGTGTTGCACTGGGAAGGGGTTGGCACTAAATTTCCTTCTCTCTCCCCCTGGGAACCAGGAGAAGGAGTGACAGGATGGACGGCAAAACACTACGTCATTGTGTGTCTCTGCCGTGAAAAACTCCCCTTCATGTGAAGATTGCAGAGCAAAAGAAGAAAAAAAACATAGATCAGAATTCACATCTGATTCATTTAATTATTTGATTCATTCATTGCTACTATTTTTGACATATTGTTAGTGGTTTGTTTGACCATATCTGCTGTCTATTTGACAACTTAGAAATATATATTTTGGCCAACTTTTACCCATTTCTTCAATGTCTTAGTCAACCTTTTTTTTCATTTCCCATTTGCCTTAACTTTTTTGCCACATTTTTGCTAATTTAATTAAGCTAACTGAATATTAATATTTCTGTAATATGTTTTGGCAAATTATGACATATATTTGACTAAACATTTAGCTATGTCCTGTAATAGTTCAGACACTGTCTGAGCTCAGCTACCAGAACTTAGCGTCTCAGCGCCTGTGGTGAAGTGTATAAAGTGTGCAGGCCGAGGGTTTAGTAGAATTAGCTTGCAGCATTAGCTTTTATTTGTGACCCCCGTCTGCATCTACCCACAGCATTATTTAGTTTATTACAGATTAGATGGAACAATATATAAGAAAGATTTTTATTTTTTAATTAAATCCAAATAATTTTGTGGTTTCTAGCGGTATTGGAAATACAAACTGAATTGGACTGAGTTTTTTCTCCTCTTGTGTCAGCTTTATATTCTTTATCCGAGGGTTTAGTAGAATTAGCTTGCAGCGTTAGCTTTTATTTGTGACCCCTGCCTGCATCTACCCACAGCATTATTTAGCTTATTACAGATTAGATGGAAGCTCACTGATCCAGAAAATTATATTTGAAGGTAATTAAATGAAACAAAAGTATTATTCTGTATTTTATTCCTCGACTCTTCGTCTCTGATTGGATTGAATTGTAGACATGAGTGAATAATCGTCATACTTGTTGCTTCTGTGAATTGCGGAATACAAAGATGTACAAACTCTGGCCTCGGCCCATTGGACATTTTTTATACTATTCTCAAAGAAGTGACAACATCTCATAAATTTAACCTTCATCATATTAACAGTTATCTGGAAAAAACAATTATTTATAATATAATAATTATCTGAGCTGCATTATAACATTGTAATAAAATAAATATTTATTAAGTAAGTGATTATAGTAATAATGGATTTAAAAAAATATATTTTATTTTATTTATCAGCCCAATGAACTAATAATCCTGTGACCACTATGTAAAAACAGTGTGAGGTTGACGGGGTTTATTTAATAATTAATAATGTAAAGCTCAAAAATATAAATAATTACAAGCTTTCCTAACGTGGAAATGATGCTTCTGAATTATTCAGCAACTGAAAACTCAAGACAAGTTTTGACAGTTTCACTGTAAACCTCATGTTCATTTTCCGTGTCTTACATCATTGCGATTTTGTCTCTAAATTTTAAACTCCATTGAAGTGAAGGCTTTAACAGAACCCAGCAGCTCTTCTCTGAGGCTTGGTTACCATAATGAGGATTGGCACTTTCAAGCACGCATGTAGAGAGCAGGGAGTCCAGACAAAGCTCTCTCAGTGTAGGGTCTGAGGCTCAGCTACACCAAAGAAGAAGGTCATTCACAATCAAGATCTCTGAGGGGGAAGATTTAAAGGACTTTTCTTCCTTCAAAAAATGTGCCGATTTTACTGGAGTTTTAAATACCGTTAAAGGCTACAATAGCACTAATGATGCCTGAAGCCTTGATGCTACACTGGTGGTGTTTCCACACAAGAACATTATCAAACGGTTATTGTTCATTTTTTTAAAAATAGATATTGCAAATAAAACATCTAAAAAAATCCTCTACTCACTGACCGTCAATCCTTATTATTTTAATTTCTTGTTTTAGTATTTTATATGGCAGATATTTTAGAGGTTGGCTAACATGTAACATTGAAAGCATTAATCTACTGCAGCAGTGTGTTATTATATTCACTGATTCTTTTCAGAAACATTTGAGACATTTCATTGTTAAACCATGAACAGTTGGTCATGCTAATCTCCTCATTATAACTGTCATTATTTTTTTACCCCTACTTTCCTACAGGGGGCATCTTTGAGACGCTTGAAAATGAACCCATAAGTTTGGAAGAACTGGCCTTTAAATTTGCTGTAACCAGCATAAACAGGAACCGGACTTTAATGCCAAACACAACGCTGACCTACGACATCCAGAGAATAAACCAGTTTGACAGTTTTGAGGCCTCTAGAAGAGGTACGACTCCTGATGATTGATGAATCAATACGAGGAGGAGTTTTCTCCTGTTGGCTTATGTGCTTTTTATTTTCTCCATTTAATTACTGCAGCCTGCGACCAGTTGGCACTCGGCGTTGGGACCATTGTGGGCCCCTCTCACAGCTCATCTGTCAGTGCAGTCCAGTCGATATGTAACGCCCTGGAAGTCCCACACATCCAGACACGCTGGAAACACCCGTCAGTGGACAACAGAGACAGCTTCTTCATCAACCTCTACCCAGAGTACGCCTCCATTAGCCGGGCTGTGCTGGACATTGTGCAGTTCTATAAGTGGAAAGCTGTCACTGTTGTCTATGAAGACGCAACTGGTGAGTGATGATGATGTTTTTCTGATGGGACTGATTGACTATGTTGTTGAAATGTCCAATACTACCGCCTCGTCTTCAGACACTCACGTCGCACTGGGTGCACACAGCTACTTCATTTTATTGTATATAAAATATCTTTACGAACAAAAAGTTATTTGTCTGTTAGTCACATTCCAGTACTATTTATTTGACGCATGCTGAAATGGTCAAAATCAAGGGCAAAAACGTTTCCGTAGAAACAACACCAACGAAAGAAAGCCAATGTAGCACAATCCACCTGACGTTAGTAAACAACGATGTCTTCCACATAGAGCACCATGTGACGATATATTCGTCCGCTCCGATCACCAACTAGTTCCTGTGCAAAATCTGTTTCTATGCCGTATGTCGGAATGAAGGAACACTGGTTTCTTAATACATCAATGAGAGATGGCGACGTAACCACAAGATTGAACCTCTGACATTTAGGATGTCCGTGATGAGTTTTAAATTTGACCTGAGAAAATCATATCTTGTTTTGTCTCACCAAAAATGACGGATTTTTGAAAGTCCACCTTGATTTACAAACAAAAACACAATTAAAAACCTTCAGCAATTTCTACTGCCGGTGTCTCAGAAGATTAGTTTACTGTGTTACAGTGTGTAATTATTGTTGTCATGATGTTTTCTTTTCATTAAAGGCCTAATTCGTTTACAAGAGTTGATCAAAGCTCCATCCAGGTACAACATTAAAATCAAGATCCGCCAGCTGCCAACAGGAAGTAAAGACGCCCGTCCTCTGCTGAAAGAAATGAAGAAGGGAAAGGAGTTCTGTGTGATCTTTGACTGCTCATACCAAACATCTGCTGATGTTCTCAAGCAGGTGAAACACACACAAGAACTATATCTATAAAAGCCGAGTTGTCTGAGGTAGTTGTCTGAAAAGATCAGGTCTTTAAAGTCATAGCAGTTTTACTCCTGAGAATGTAAAAATCAAGGAAAAACTTGTCTTTAAACCTATTTATTTTTTGGGATTTTTCAGATCTTGTCTATGGGGATGATGACTGAATACTATCACTTCTTCTTCACAACACTGGTAAGGTTGTTGTCTGTAGGATTACTATAGGACATTGGTTGTTGTTAATTTGTTTTTCCTGTCATTTTTCATTTAATATATCGTTGATGTTCCACTACAGGATCTTTTTGCGCTCGACCTGGAGCCGTATCGCTACACTGGCGTCAACATGACAGGTTTCAGACTTCTCAACGTCGACAACCCTCAGGTTGCCGCGGTGATGGAGAGGTGGTCCATCGAAAGACTGCAATCTCCTGGGAAAGTGGAGACCGGAATGATGGAGGGGATGATGACGGTGAGGTGGCTTTTTCATAACAACGTACAATTATGATGTTTATAGTAAAGACGTCTGTAAGCTTCTTGTAAGAAGGAGCAACTGTGAAAAAACAGTTTGTTTGGTTTGTAAAATTCTGCACATGCGTTTACCACTAATATGCTCAATTATTATTTAAGTGCAATTTAAGAACAAATCCACCTCTCAGGTAAACGAGCTACTAGAACAATGGCATGCAGTGTTTAACATGTAAAGTGGGAGATCGGAACGCAGAGAACAAGACAAAAAAAAAGTGGAGGATCCAAGGTCAGAGGTGGTGGATCCTGTTCTGGCAGTTCATCCAGCTCAAATTAAATCCTGATGTCATGTAACTGAATGGAATGAAAGAAAGCACTGCGACATCAGGGATTACATTTTACTGTCAACAATTTGCAGACAGTTGTTGTTGTTTTCAAAGCTATGGTTCGCCCATGGACAGAGCACCCTTTACTACGTCGATGCAAATGAAGCTGGTGAACAGAGCAGTTTCTACAAATTCATTGTTCTTATCTGTCCATATTCTGTGATCTGTGGTTAATACTCAGATCTCCTAAGCTGGTTGTAAATGTAATGAAAAATATATTGTCTGTAATAAATATAAATAAAATAAGTTAGATTGTATTCAAAGACACAGTAAACAGTTTAGTCACAAAGAGTGGATCTACAGGTTCAGAGATGTCACAGGAAATTCATGAGCCATTTCACCCCGTGTAGAAAAGTGAAAAAGAGGTTTCGTTGCAACCTCTTATTGCCAAACTTGAATGGAAATAATAACAACTGACCAAGCTGCTCTCTGATTGTGCCTACTATATAAAAGGCACTTGTGGTAATAAGCTCATGATTGTAGTTGTTGTACTGTATGTAGCACTGCACTCTTTGAGGTTACATTCAAGAAACACTACTGTGCTGCTGCTGCTGCCAGCATATGGCACATATAACAACACTGATGAGATGATTGCATGACATGAGACTCTTGAGCCTACATTGTTTTTGCAGACTAATGCGGCTCTGATGTATGATGCTGTCTTCATGGTGGCTGCTGCATCACAACGTGCTTCCCAGATCACCGTCAGCTCCCTGCAGTGCCACAGACACAAACCCTGGCGCTTTGGATCACGCTTTATGAACATGATCAAAGATGTGAGTTGGACTTTTTAAAATGAGTGACGGCTTGCCTTTTTCTTTCATTTGTCTCCTTCACACCTGCTGCCTTGATTTGATTGGCGTCGTTAGAGACAATAGGGTAAACCAGATTTACTTGAGCTTTGTCATTGTCACACACACATAAATTGTAATTGTTTTAGAATAAATGCCAGGTTTAAAATGTAGGGTGGCTCTATAATATATATATATAGAGAAAGAGAGCTTTACACTGAAGGTGTTGTGTGGGTTTCTGAATAATTACAAAACATCTTAGATCACCACCAAGTGTTTTTCTTGGCAGTAAAGGCGAATGCCAGCAATGGTGTATTAATTTAGCTTAATTACACAAATAAAAAAAGATCATTATGAAAAACAAAACTGTTAGATGTTATTTTGTTTTCCAGAGTCATCAACCGTATTAACATAAATTAGAATTACATGGAGATATCTTTTCTTCTTCTTTTAGCTGCTCACTGCAGGACATCATTTATCTAACTAAGACTAACAGAGTTTAGATGAATAAATCATGAAATAAAAGTCCATGTCTATATTTCTATACCTTAATTATTTTAGAGTGCGACATTAGTGCTTTTAAAAGCAGTGAAGTTGAATTTTTTTTTTTTTTTAGGAACATTTCCTCCAGTATCTCAGCGGACACTCTGATTCATTTGCTGTACTCAAACCTGATCCTCTTTTTCAGTGCAGCTTAATTTTCCAATCTGAGAAGATCCATGTCATTGCAGTGTGTACAGTATTGACATTAACACATGGTCCAGACAGAGACAGTTTTGATTAGAGGGGATTAAATAAAAAGAAAAAAAAAAGACTTAACCACAGGAATCAATCAGGACTTAGGGGGCAGTAGAACTCCCAGATGTGTGTTTAACAACATTACAGTTTAATTGAATGGGAAATTTCACAAATGGTAAAACATTATAGCTTTCAGTAACAACTGAAAAATATTTCACTAGACACATCTCTAACTCAAAACCCTTCCATTTTAAAGTCTTAGCACATAGATTTTACATTTGTCTATTTACTTTCTTAACAGTAGTTTGTTTTAGTTAATGTTTATAGATGTACTTGTTTTGTTTTTATATTTTTATTTTTTACTAAATCTGGATGAGTTTATATACTATCATAGTGGTAACTAATAAAATATCTATATGCTATAACTGGTAATGTAATATTTTTCTATTAAATATTTATCTTAGTATGACCTTAGTATGAACTCTGATACTCGTACAGCAACAGTGTTGTGGACATGCGGGGAAACAAAAACCTATCTAGCTGTTGTGTTAGCTTTCATTGTTTTTACCTCATGAGGCAAAGGAATATGTCCAAAGGACTGCAAGAAAACAGAAGGCTATCTGTTATGTACATGAACAGTTAATTTACTATAAACTACCTTGGTCAAATATTACATTATCAGAACAATAACATCAAACAAATTGTCAGTAATAATGTCAGATTCAGTGTTATTGTTCATCCCTAAATTCAATCAAGGATTCAATTCTAGACATGATTATTAAAGTTAAATCCCTGATAATGTTCATGATAGTCATCTCTGAAGTCAATGTACATGTACAACTAAATATAAACACATATTTTTTTCCACATCATTCTTTTTGTTAAAACACTGTGTTTAGGTTTAGTGTTTTGTTGCGTAAGACTTTTTGTTTTTATGACTTGAAATTAATGAACTCACAAACAAAACAAATACATAAATATATCATGATTTCCTACCCTCGTTGTCATAGAGCTCTTTTCCAGTATTTCACATGTTTTTTTCTTTTTTATTGTGCCCTCAAAAACACACCAGATTATTTCTACTTCTTCTAACAACTCATAATTATCCCCAAGCGCTGCTTTCTTTACAAGGACGTCGGCCAACTGCCTTTTGTTTGTTCAACAAGGAAAACTGTTCACATCAGGCTGAATGAATGAATTATTATGAGTAACCCAGTTTTCCAGTGGATCACACAGAGAGCAGGAAGCAGCAGCAGCAGATGTGTTTACGGAGCTAAACTTGTTTCATCAGTCTATGATTACATTATTTCTCATTTGAATGTAACTAGGCTAGGGAACATTCTGGAACACCTACCTCTAATTAAGGTTAAAGATTAGTTAGAAAAGATAAAGTGATACATCTCTTTAAAAAATGAACATGTCCCTTTAACCTTGGGGTTTGTTCTTGGACAGATTTTTCCTTTTGTGTTTTTGATCAACTTTATTTAGCTTAAAGCAATTTCTGTATTTATATAAATACAGCTTTTCTATGGCTGTTTAGCTGTTCCTTCATATCTCTAACTGTGTGGTAACTGCACACACACACTGTACTGATGAACAGCTATACTGTATGAAGAAAAATGATTTTGAGATTTATGTTATAGTCTCCCAGTATCGAATAAAGATGCAGCTCATTTCCCTAAAACGACATAATAGATCTATAAAGGTTATTCATGGTGAGCTCACTTCATTATTGGCTTTATTCAAATAAAACTGCCCCAGTTCCAAAGAAAGGCCATGCCTCCTGCTGTAGTTACCTCACAAATGTGTCTGTTTATATTCATATTAACGAAGAAAAGGTGAAACAAGATAAACAAAATCGATCTTTCTTTTATCATGGCTCTCACTTACTTAGATATTGTTAGCCATAAGCTTTGTTAAAAACATTCTTTAACCCTCTGCCGCTCTACCTCTGACTCTTCATTTATGAATGTGACAATAAAAAAATGATGGATTCACTCATTTTCTTTCCTGCCCTCTCTCTGTCACAGGCACAATGGAACGGCTTGACAGGACAAATAATTATAAACAAGACAGATGGCCTGCGGAAGGAATTTGATTTAAATGTCATCAGCCTAAAAGAAGACGGCTTGGAGAAGGTGAAACATCTGACCCCATCTGTACTGGCTGCTAGTGCAAAACATTCAGATTAAAACACTGTGTCATATTAATACCCTGGAGAGAAATAACGTAAAGGATAATTTAATCAAAACGTGTTCAATTAAAAAAAACACAACTTTAAATAAGAGCACCTTATTAGCATCTTTCTTTTAGCCCTGTCATTAAAACTTTCTTCTTTATTATTTTTGCAAGAAAATGGCAGGCAACAACCGCCTGAATAAAGTGTGGAAAAAGGTCTGTACTTCAGCTGCCGTGGCAGAAAAAAAAAGTGTTAAAATGTCTACACTGATCCTCCCTGTGGTTAAATAAAGTTTAATTCAAGTTGTTGATGAGAAGAAATGCCCAATGCTTTTTCACTACTCGTGATAAAGCTGTATAAACTGTTGTTATGTGTTCTGTTCTTTCCCTTTGATATCTGCCCATTTGTTGGTATTCACTGATGCAGTTTCCCTGTTCCTGTGTGTGGTTCCTTCTTTAGAACTTTTCCTTGATGTGAACGTGACTTTGGCCAGTGGTTCTCAAATGATGAAGTTTTGAGGGTTAGAATTGACTATATAACATATATAACAATTCTTACTTTATTTTTGTAAACAATCACTTTCACTGGTGAAACTGAATTTCTTAATTCTTGGCTAAGTAGAGGAAGTTTCTGGAAATGGAAATGTATTGCAGTATCTGTATAAAAGTAGACAAAACAAGTACATAAGGCTTTAGTCCATATGCCCTCTGAGTCATGACTCATCCTTTGGGAAACACTCATTCAGACTGTATTATTCATCAGGTGTTGTTTCTCACAGATCGGGGTGTGGAACTCCCAGACAGGCCTTAATCTAACAGAAAACAACAAGGATTCAAACGCCAATGTGACTGACTCTATGGCTAACAGAACCCTGATCGTCACGACACTGCTGGTAGGAGTGACATTTTGAAAACAAAAAGTCTTATAATGCCTCAATAAGATCCATCCAATGTTTACTGTGTCTTTCCAGGAGAATCCTTATGTAATGTATAAGAAATCTGACAAGCCTCTGTACGGGAATGATCGCTTCGAGGGTTACTGCCTCGATCTGCTCAAAGAGCTCTCCAACATTTTGGGATTTTCCTATGAAGTTAAGCTCGTGTCAGACGGCAAATATGGAGCCCAGAATGATAAGGGCGAGTGGAATGGCATGGTCCGAGAACTCATCGATCACGTAAGTATTCGCCAAGATGTGAGGAAGAAGGTCTACAGTAAAGGAGTAAAGTATATATATATGTGAAACTGTACATTTAAACCGTCTTGTTCACAGGTGGCTGACTTGGCCGTGGCTCCTCTCACCATCACATATGTGAGAGAAAAAGTGATCGATTTCTCCAAGCCCTTCATGACACTGGGGATCAGCATTCTCTACCACAAACCCAACGGCACCAACCCAGGAGTCTTCTCCTTCCTCAACCCTCTCTCTCCTGATATCTGGATGTATGTGTTGCTGGCCTGTCTGGGTGTCAGCTGTGTGCTGTTTGTCATTGCCAGGTAAACTGCTGTTGTTAAACAAAAACAAAGTTTTTTTTAAAATACAGATAAACGGTTGTTTCTCTTCATAAACTGTTTCACTGACATTACTGGACACGGCTGTGCTGAGTCGGGCTTGAACTTTGCAATTGCAATATTTCATTAAATGAAAACAAAAATCCTGTGTAAAACTATTCCTTCACAGGTTTACTCCGTACGAGTGGTACAACCCACACCCCTGTAACCCAGACTCTGATGTGGTTGAAAACAACTTCACCCTGATAAACAGTGTCTGGTTCGGAGTTGGAGCTCTCATGCAGCAGGGTATAGTCCTTCCTATTAAAACAAGTTAAAATATTTATATATATTTGATTTTTATTTTACAGTGACAGAGGTTGTACATGCTGTATATGTCATGGCTTTGGTTGTGTCTATAGGGATGATGATGTGAGTCCTGTTACTGTCTCACAGGGTCTGAGCTGATGCCTAAGGCCCTCTCTACCAGAATCGTTGGTGGTATCTGGTGGTTTTTCACACTCATTATCATCTCCTCTTACACTGCAAACCTGGCTGCTTTCCTCACGGTGGAGAGAATGGACTCACCGATTGATTCTGCTGATGACTTGGCCAAGCAGACCAAAATAGAGTATGGTGCTGTGCGGGATGGCTCCACTATGACCTTCTTTAAGGTAACCCTTTTCAGCCCTACTACATGTGATGTATAAAATGGTATTCGAGGGTCATGCAGGAGCACGGTGGTTAGCGCTGTTGCCTTACAACTAGAAGATCACCAGTTCACTCCTGACCTCAACTGATCTTCTCTCTTTACCTTCAAATGGATTACAACGACCTCGACCTACAGCACTTCATGGTCATTCATTCGCTCACATTCCTTTAGACCCCCTCAACGTCACGACCCCATGGTGATGACTTCTGCTCTAGAGCCCAAGTTTCAGAGAAATTAATCCTTGGTCTATTGTTGTTCCAATTTAACAGAAATCTAAGATCTCGACCTATGAAAAAATGTGGGCCTTCATGAGCAGCAGGAAGAACACGGCTCTGGTAAAAAACAATCGAGAGGGGATACAGAGGGTCCTCACCACAGACTATGCTCTTCTGATGGAGTCGACCAGCATCGAGTACATCAGCCAGCGCAACTGTAACCTCACACAGATCGGAGGCTTGATAGATTCCAAAGGATATGGTGTGGGAACTCCAATTGGTAAGAGGAGAGATCATCAATATAACTTTAGTGAATCATCTTAGACTCTACTTGAACTGATCTGTATTGGTTTACCGTAATTAAAACATTTAAACTTAAACGATAAAATGCTGCTGTTTCCTGAACTAGGTTCCCCGTACAGAGACAAGGTCACTATCGCCATCCTACAGCTCCAGGAGGAAGGGAAGCTGCACATGATGAAGGAGAAGTGGTGGAGAGGGAACGGCTGCCCGGAGGAGGACAGCAAAGAGGCCAGTGCTCTGGGCGTGGAAAACATTGGTGGAATCTTCATTGTGCTGGCAGCTGGACTGGTGCTTTCTGTTTTTGTGGCAATTGGAGAGTTTATTTACAAATCCAGGAAAAACCTGGACATCGAGGAGGTGAGTGTGGGCCAGTGTGAGTGGCACAACAAGTATTAGACTAAAGGGATTCTATTAAAGTCTGGACAAGCTGGACCAAGGTACTGGACCAACGTCTGAATGGGTTAAACTGCATTGTTACAATCACATTTACAAACTTTTGAATGCAGGATTTGATTTTTCCAGTCTTTTCTGGTTTGAAAAAACAAAAACATTTTTACATATTTCTATTTCGACTGGAAAAGTATGGTGACAGATGGTTTCTGACTTGACTCTCGACTTTCTCAGCCTTTTTCACAAATAACACTGTGTCATTTTATTGTGTGGAAAATTGCAATTGTCATAGTTTGATTTTGGGAGAAGGTGATGGTATGTGTATGGTTTACTGTATGTATATTTTCTTATTTAGATTAGCAGCTGGTGTGAAATGTTTGAGATTTTTTTTTATTTATACCACACATAAATTGATGTGATGTCATAAATATTAACCTCTTTTCTATTTACCTGATTTTGAAGCACATCTAATTGGACTCTGATGTAGGATTTCAATGAATCTCTATTAATGAAGGAATGCTCCTTAAAATAGTACGCTTTTTTAAAAAATACCGTTACGTTCATAAATGTGTTGTGTCATGTTGAAATTGTTTTAGAGTGATAAAGTGACATGAAACTATGACGTACGTCTTTGTTTCTGGTTGCTGTTTTGTCCTCTGCCTATTCCTACACACACCCTGTGTCTTTGCTGCATGGAAAAAGCCAAGCCAAACTTCTAAAATCTAAATTTGAATCATACCCAAAGTAGAGTCTTACAAAAGCCTCTCTCTTTTTCATATCTGTATATTGTTTCCTTTAAAAGGGCTGATTTTTTTCTGGTAAACTTGTCAATGGCAGAAACATCGAGCTTGTATGTTGATTATCATGGGATTTTAAACTTATGTTTGATAAATGTAATTTACATCACCACAATGTAGAAAACATCACAATTGAATGTGAATTAGTCCTAAATGGTAGAAGGCAGTGAAAATAATTTACATTAATCATAGTAATTCAATTTGTATTTAAAAAATTTAACAGCAAAACTATTACAAATCTTCACTGTGACCCATTGCCAGTCAGATGTCCATTAAAATAATTGGACATCTACAGTACATCGTTGAAATGCATCAGAGTGATAACGGTTGGATAAACAAAGAGAGACAAGTGTGAATGTAAACAACCAGCTGTAAGTCGATCTGACGGCTGAAGGCCCGGGTGCTGGCTGTAGGTCAGTTCAGCAGCATGTCCCCTGGTTTCTCTCATTACTCTGGGAGATTACAGTATTATAGTTCTCATTTATATAATCCCGTCAATGGGATCCATCAGAGTCTTTCTGCTTTGCCCCCAAATAAGGTATGCAGTGACTGTAGCATACAATCAGTCACAGTAGCTTTACAGCTTATAAGACTTAGGCTCAGTTTCATGAAGGTCACGGACCATATGCTTGGATTGATTATACCGGACCAGTATCATGTGTCTCACTTACATTTTAAGGATTGACAGAGACGCCTACGGGACAGTACTTCCACCTCAGTGTCATGGCATCAGGGAAAGTCAATGACAATGTCTTTTTTTTTAAGCTTGTCTTTCCACCTCAGTGTCATGGCATCAGGGACAGTCAATGACTGACTATATACCTAAATATACATATACATATATATACATACAGTATATGGGGCTGTTTATATATTAGGGCTTTTAAACGATTAAACTATTTAACCTGAATTAACCACAAGGCTGTGGATTCATTACAATTAGTCTTTATTGTATGTGATTGAAATTAAGCTTTATTAACTCTTATTTATGAAAATAAATATATGTTTTCAACATACTGCTGGAACACACACAAAAAAATAACAGCAGGTAGATGTAATGGTTGTTTGTTTTTTTTAAACTTCAGAGAGTTGGTAGATTTTAGTCATTACTCCTCATCTTGACAGTGGCTTATAGAACGTGTCGAGAGTTGCTTTCAGAACTTGGTCCCTGTGGTCGTTATAGTAATCAGTCTACAGTGCCTCACAATCCATTTGACTATAGTGTCAGTCAGTCAGTCACTAACCCTCACATATGCATGCTGAGCATTGAGAT